TGCTAAGCTGGCCAGGCTGTGCAAAGATTATGGTTGATTCGGCGAATGGAGTCGGCAACGATTGCCAAATGAGAGGGTAAAGGACAAGCTAGCCACTAGACACGAGATCCTGAAAAGGGGACTTAGTGTCGTACTGGAAGAGGTTCAGCAGCAAATTCATGCTACATCCGCTGGGATCAAGCGCTCCGATGAACGATGCCGGCAGTTTCGACAGAATGGAACCTTTGAGAGAGACCAGAGACAAATCTACTGTGAACTTCAAGGGGACGGCACTACACCCGCCAAACCATCAGATGGTACCTCACTTGACTCACAAAATGCTGTAGCCTTCTAGCAAGGCATATGGTCCTCACCCGTGACCTATGATCAACAAGCAGAGTGGGTGACCACTGTGGAAAGTGACCTCCGAGAAGTTTAACCCTTTCACTACCCATTATTTTCGCAATTGAGTCAATTCACAGTCTACAAAAATACTTCGCCATGCGCCAGATATGCACCAAGGAGTGAAAGCGATAGTTGCAGTCGATAGCCAAGGTCTTTCTCAAGACATAAACCCCTCATCTGTAATAATCCGACAATGTTTGAGCGTGAGACGAAATATTTAGTGATTGCCTATTGCATCGATCCACATGGATCGATATTTGAATGGCTGGTAGTGAGAGGGTTAAGGACAAGATGAGGTGTGCATTTTCATCATGCATGTGCAAGAGTTTTAGCCGGCATGCCGTACTGGAAGGTGCCAGGCCCAGATGGTGTTCAGTGGTACTGGGTGAAGAAGTTTACCTCTTTGCATACTGCAATGGCCCGAATGCTTAACGCATGCCTGCAGGATGCCGAAGTGCCAGCTTGGATGAATCATGGTCGCACAGTTCTGATCATGAAAGACCCTGGCAAGAGCGGTGTAACCAATTACCGACCAATTACCTGCCTTCCAGTCATGTGGAAATTATCCTGCAGCATTCTGAGCAAAAAGATCACAGTCCATCTTCGGGCGTCATCTCTGCTACCTGATGAGCAGAAAGGTTGCAAGCGTAGAACTTATAACACTAAAGATCAACGTTGTGGAGGACAGTAAGCATCGCAGAACCAATTTGGTTGGACAGCTTGTATACGTTTTTATTCGATGTTTTTTGGGGATTCACTATGCCTACAATAGATCATAGTTTGCGGCGATGTCACGTATCAAGCCTGTTGCCAAGTGCTGCTGTCAAGGTCCACAGACCCCAGTTGCATAATAGAACCGTAAGGATAAGTGTGAAGAAGAGGTTGGTGCGACTTTGGCGATAATTGGGGAATTGTGTGTTTCTCCCTACGTGGGAGCGTGCGCGATTCCTGCCGACTTGAATTCTCACTTTACTGACTCACGACTGCCATCCAGAGCACAATAGAAGTCCATCGAAACTTCCACTCGGAAAACCTGAAAGAAAACACCACTCCCCGCTAAAGGATAAGTATGGTAAACATAAACATGCTAGATATCAAAGTGTCTCTTTCAGGGTAGAGTGCCAAATGCTCGGTTAGCAGCATTGCTACGGTTTTCCATGTCACTTCCAGATCCCAAGCTGAGACTGCCGAGTAGTTTCCTCTTTATTCATGGCTCATCATCCTGGGAAAGTTTTACAAATTGTGTTTTGTTAGATTTAATCTCAAGTCATCCTGGGCGAAAATTGGTTCACATTTCGCTGCAGCGGCCACCACAGCCTCACGATGAGTGTCATGTATTGTGGTGTCCTCTGCACACTGTGACAAATGAGTAGGCAGGCATGAAGGGGAAGTGCAGGCTGCTCTCACCTGCCTCATCGCACCTTCTGCGTAGACAATGACATGGCATGATACATCGGGTCTCTCTGACCTACTCCGATATTGGTCAAGAAGGGAGCTCTGAGCTGCCGAGCAATCTTCACCCTAGCTGTCGTGTGGGAGACTAGTAATTTAATCATTGAGGTGAGTGCACCCGAAGCGGACATTTGATCGAGCGCCTTGCTACGGTTCACTGTGTCGAATGCACCGCTCAAATTGAGTAATGCTGCCGAATACTTCCAGCAAAGTAGCAAAGCTCTTTGACACATAGACCGCACCCAGAAAAGCCCATCAGCCGTTGAGCGACCTGGTCTGAAACCAGCTTGTGACTCGTCCACAAATTGCTGAATATTAGTGCTAATTTTCTTTGTGATTACGGTTGTAAGGACTTTCCGAACCACTGACAATAGCATTACTGGTCTGTTACTCTTCGGGGCTCCTTTCGGTTTGCCATTTTTGTATTTTGGCACAATAATGCCAGTTGTCATTTCTACTGGGCAATGCTGTAATTGGCGAATTAGATTGAAAAATGAGGACACCCAGCCAGCTAGAATGTCAGAACCTGCATGAAACATCTCACTGCTCATGCCATCCTTACCGACTGCTCCACCTACGTTTTGCTTCTGTATCGCTGCACGAACGTCTTCTGTTGAGAAAGGCTCATCATCCCCGACACCAGTCGCCGGCTGATGAACCGGTTTATACGACATGTTGGCACTGTAGACAGTTGATGAATGATAGTCACTAAACTTCTGGAGATTCCAACCAATGTCTGGGATGATCCCTCCATCCATGCTCCTGGCGAGCTGTTGACACTGTGACAAGAAACGTATTGCCTTCAAGTCAGCCTCCACAGTGGCTGTGGAGGCTCAGGCTTTGAGCTGCCTGGCGGTGCGGACTTATCCATGATAGGCAGGTAAATACTCGTCAGAATAGCGTGATGCGCTTCCAATATCACGCAGTATTCTTATCTGTACATGGAAGCAACAATACCCAACGCAACATAACCAGAAAAAAACGTGAAATACTTGAAACACTCATCAAAGCCTATTTTTGCCCTTTGATCTCTGTTGCTAGTTTGTAAGAAGCCTACTTATCCAGACAAGACCGGGTCTTACAGCAAGGGTGTATTCTCCCAACAACAATGGTTGAACACGCTGACTTTAACATGTATTACGGGATATGAGGTTCACGGTAACCCGCAGGTGACGTGCTTGAAAGCTCCTTTAGTTACTAGTGTGCGGCCCAAATGCGGTAAGCTTTCTTGTGTGGTTTTGAGATTGCAAAATCAGTGTTACATCAGTATCCCCGTGAGCTTGTTCCCAGCAACTGACTGATTTGGGTGCATGTGTGTTAATTTCATTGTTTGAAAAAAAATACGAAATACAATCGGACGTGCTTCGAATAGACAGCATCGCCATTCCATTGTTAACCATGCACCTCAGTATGGATAGAGCTATATCATACTCACTGATGAGACCTTAGTTGTCGAAACAGCGTTGAAAATCGGCTTTGCCCCGAGGAGTGTATAACCAGTTTAAACGGTACTGTCTTGTAGTATGAACAATGAAGCAATTCCACCTCCTCCACATACGCTCTACGGCCGACAATGACATCAGCAACATTACTACAGGTTGTATATACATGTACTGACAGATATAATTTCCTCCAGGCAACGCTGTTTGGATCACTAAGGTCTGATCAGTGAAGGTTGAGAATAGCGAATGGCTAGAATTAATTTGAAGTGACAGGCAGGATGTGCTAAGTGCTTACACATGGAGAAAAGGTGCAAAATACTGCGGACATCATCGATACTTAAATAACAGATTCTAGCACTTCGAGATACAACCATGTAGCATACTGAAGAACGGGGCGACAGTTCAGTCCTTTGCGCTCCAACATCGCACTGCAAGTACGCAAGAGGCCCCCGGCCTGGGGCATTTGCTGCATGAATTCACTTACCACCATACAGAACTGTCATCGCATGGTCGGGCGAAAATTCTGCTGTTGTCTCCATTTGTATAATTACGGTTCTCGTATGGTGTCACCCTATTAAGTATTAGTATGAACACTAGTATGTAAACTTGTAAAACCAAATACCTCTAGGGTATTATAGATTAGCAAATCTGGTTTTAGAGTTTTTTTTTTACCAGAGCCACGTAAACCCGTCATGTGTGAGCCATGAATAAGGGGAGTGGTGGCGTGGTCAGGGATGCTCTGCCGACCTTGGGTCTCGCCTTCATCACAACCAGGCGCGCCAATAGAAGAGAGAGAAAGAGAGGGAGGGAGAGAGAGAGAGTGACAGACAGACAGACAGACAGACATACAGACAGACATACAGACAAAGACAGACAGAGAGAGATAGAGAGAGACAGACAGACAGAGAGAGAGAGAGAGAGAGAGAGAGAGAGAGAGAGAGAGAGAGCTTAGGTGTTTAGGTCAGAGCAAGGTTTGCCCAGTCGAGCAAAGGGAATGTGCATTACACATGCGTGGCACGCTTCACTTGGAAATACACAGATATCCATGGAGATAACGTGGTGCCTTTTCGTCTTTCAGTTTTGAAAAACATTTCCTTGATTAATTGATAAACTTTCATGTCTCCGTCAGTTTTTAGCGAGGCAGCAATATTAATACGAGGTCAGTGTTCATAAGCAAAGTGAACTGTTTGCCTGAATCATGCAACTTTCCATGACGAAAATCCCATTCACTGCATCACTGCTTCCCTCATTCCAGGCCACGAGTTCCCAACTACCTCTGGGTCGCAGCACGGCAGGAAAAAAGCCCTTCTGCTTCCAAGCAGGAATTGAACCTGGTACCCTCTATTTCTCAATCATGGTCTTGGACCGCCCCACTATAGCTACCTGCTGAGGTGGGGAAAGCCTCCGTACTCAAACACAAGGATGTTGTGTATCCCACACCTTTCCCCCATCAAGCCCTACAGCAACTCTGCGCTCTCCAGAGGGCCTCTCCACTGTTTGCAAAAGTGGCTGTAGTTCTGAGCGCAGGTTTTGAATTGTTCGGGGAAGTAGCATATAAACCAACCAAACAACCCACCAACTATTTTCTATATGTTGTCTCTGAACTGTGTTGCTGGTAGCCAAGATATGTACAAAACCAACTGTAACAAACGGAGCTTTTTTGAAAGGTTCATTGAATACCATAGACAATCAGCTGGAGGGAACGTGTGACAATGGCTACACACCCTCACCAGTGCTTAAGGCGACTTGCGACCGTTATGGCCAGGTGACTGTGGTGGGCAAATGCGGTAAGATATCCTGCGTGTTTCTGATTGAGATTGTATAGTGGTGACAATTGATGTGAGCCTTAATATTTAGTTTAACTTTTAGTAATGCAATAAATATAACTAAATGCGCACTCATATCACAACTATGGGGACGAATAATGTATTCCAGAACGTTTTCTTGTCACAATTATCAATGGAATTCGTAACTAAAGAGCCAAAGTCTGCTTTTTTCTATATATATCACACAAGCAGTGACTTTCCGCGTTTTGTTCAGCGTGTGTTGGAGGTGCGAGCCCCGGCAAGTATGCCCGGTTGATTGGCCCAACCTAACTGTGCTTCCGGATAAGATCTGGGATTCTTTTCCAAATCGACAGCACATCCTTTCAGTGGCTGAAAACTCCAAGACATGACCGAGGAACTCCCAACGTGGCAGGCAAGTCTCGAGCCAAATCGGTACCTAGTTGCAGATGTAGTTTGGGTGCTAGTTTCTGAAAAGACCAAAAAATAGAGATTCACTGGCCAGAAAAAGTCACTTCAAATAGCTGTATGGTGTAGACCAGGCTGAATAGTGACGGTCAATTCGTCAGCCTTGCAAGCTGTTGAATGGTGCAATCCCGGCACAAGTTGCTATGGCTTCTGCCGCAGCATTGCTATCATCGCCTCCGGCGATGGGCGTCAAAAGGTCAAAGGTGTGTGTGTGTGTGTGTGTGTGTGTATGTGTGTGTGTGTGTGTGTGTGTGTGTGTGTGTGTGTGTGTGAAAACTGCGAAGGAAGAGTCAACATAAACTATTCTCTTAGCATTCACACACACACACACACACACGCACGCACGCACGCACGCACACATAATTATATTATTGCATAAGTTTATATTTGAAACTCGGATGTTGAGCCATAAATAAATGTAGAAAGTAAAAGGGCATAGGGATACAAGTTAAGGAGGCTCCAACCCTTTGGGGGTGATTTTTTTTCTTCATAAACCCTCTCCTTTTTGTGGATGAGTGTGCTCTATATCATCCCATGTTACTCCACAAAAAAATTCAGGGGGTGTTTCCGCGGAGATAAGGCTGTTTGAGGTGTATTTCTAGGGGTGGGTGTATTTATCGATTTCGGCCTAAATTTGCTTGTTTTGGGGTCATATTTCAGATTTACCAGTTGTCTGGCTTCTCTTTGTGATTGCAAGTCCTTGCACACATCACAGTGAAGCATTTGAGCAAGAAAATCTGGCAATCAGCATTGACTACTCAGAAAAATAGTAATTTTGGTACAAAAATGAACTTCGCAGAAATGCCCGTCCGCAAAGTACAATTGGGTGCACAGCTTCATATTTTCTTCATGGACATGCCCTTTTTATTTTATTTTTGGGATCCTCATACTTCATAGAAACTAGAAATATATAATTTTAGGGGGGTTACCGTGCATTTTAGATCTCCACAAATAAAAATAGGACAGAAAATTGGCCGATTTTCCACCATTCTTGGAATTGCTATTTTTCAGGTAAGGTGATCATTCTATGCATTCCTTGTGGTATTACTCCAATTTTTTGTGTCAAAAGCATTGAATGGTCCCCCAGATTGTTATAGTATACATGGAGACTAGATGAGGCCATGGTTCCTGGGCTTTTTAGCCCTTGATCTGGATATCGGCATGATCCATGCACAACGTTATTCATGATCCAGGCCGAGGCCTACTGACCCTGAGCGCAGTTCAGACCAGCTTTGTATCACAACTCTTGCAATATTTCACTCCTAGTATTTCTCATAAAGCAACAGGCAAAGAGCTTGAGGAGGATAACAATTATTATATTCTGGGGGGGGGGGGGGGGGCAGTTTCATGTTTGTAGTACATGTACAATGTAGATGCAGGTTCAACTCAATATTGGCAATGAACGACTGCTAGTAATTGTAGCACCCATTAGGTATAATCATAACACTATTCCCAATGACATGGAACAACCACAAGTGTATGTGGGTGCATGCGCATTGCACACATTGATACATACATGTACGCTTCCATGCACATGCTCAGAAACAAGTACCCCTTGCACACACAAATACATGTACGTCATATACGCGCACCCGCAATAGCATACACCAACATGCAAAATGCATGCTCTTGAGCTTAGTTACCATATTCTGCTGTCCATGCACTTGTGCACACGTTCGCGCGCGCGCGCACACACACAACATGCACTGCGCGCGCGCACACACACACAACATGTAGGCTCACACGCGTGCCTGCGTATGTGCATGCACATAGTGCTTATGGGTACAGGTGCATGCATTCATCATAATAGAACTGGTGCGAGTAGTGTAGGAATATTTTCAAATCACTGGTGCTGTACAACACAACATTTACAAAATACTTCACACTCTGACAATAGAGAATAGTACTGCAAAACAACATACTCAATTTTCAGTGCTGCATTTTATTCAAGTGGACGCAGGTGATGACTTACTGCTGGCGACGTTGGCAGCTGACAGGTCACAGCTTTCGTAAATAGCCCAAGTCACTGAGCAGTAGCTCACCAACGATTTACCACTCACTCAAGACTGCAATGTTTTCAGCGTAGCAATATATTTCGCCACTTGAGAATTAGAAGTGGATCCACTTACCAGAGTCTGTGCACCCACTTCAATCTCTCTCTCCAAAACGCGCTTACAGTAGGTTTTGGTCCCTGGTGTTACACAGCCATCGAGACGCTTGGCTCCGTTCTCCTTGATCATTTTTTCGTCGAGCAAAATTGTTCAGGATCTCGAGAAATCGAGCTGTGAAGTCAATTTCTTGCTCACACCAGCGATACTTTTGAAAACATGCCTTGATACCCACTGACACAATGGAAGAAAAAACAACAGGAACCCCGATGGGGCCCAGGGAAGACTACAGGTGAAGAATGAAACAATATTCTCTGATAAGACTGTCGATCGTGGAGTTCAAATTTTAGTAAGTTGAGATGGGAATTTCCCAACTTTTCGCACTTATCGGCAAAAACAAGACTTTTGCCTGCAAAAAACAGAGTGCAAGACCGGCTGCGCAGCGCAGAAGGTTGGAGCCTCCTTAAGAGTAACTCTCCATCACTGTAACTTGATACTACATACAGTCGGAAAGTGCAATAACTAGGCACACAACTGACAAGAGTACTGAGACATTCGACGTCCTGACACCTAGCTTCAACACATCTCCGTAGCGCTAACCGACAGCCTTCCAACTTGGAAGGTTCAAGGTTACGGAAAGACCAAAGAGGGGAAGGCAAGCGCAACGAAAACGAGCAAAAGCTACAGTCCCAACGGAACAAAGAATGTCGATTGCTACTGGACGATGACGAGACCAGTACGAGATTTGACAAAGCGGTCTAACTACAATTCGAAGCAGCAAAGCAGCACACCACCCAACTTGGGTGGGTCATACATATCAAAGATAAGTAAAGAAAGGGGAGCTTTGCGAAAACGAATTGTACAAGCCGAAAGCCAAACTCCTACGGTACTCCTCATGCATGACAGAGTAATGGACTAGTTGACTACAAAACAAGTTGTTTCACACGACGTACGTTTCGCCGTATGGTTCGTGGCGGCTCATCAGGTGTGCAGTTTGAAACTCGGATGTTGATCCATAAATAAATGTAGAAAGTAAAAGGACATGAATACGAGTTAAGAGTAACTCTCCATCACTGTAACTGGATACTATATACAGTCAGAACCTTGAACCTTCCAAGTTGGAAGGCTGTCGGTTATCGCTACGGAGATGTGTTGAAGCTAGGTGTCAGGACGTCGAATGTCTCAGTATTCTTGTCAGTTTTGTGTCTAATTATTGCACTTTCTGACTGTATTTATTATCCAGTTACAGTGATGGAGAGTTACCATTATGTCCTTTTACTTTCTACATTTATATAGTTGGTGAAACCATTCTTTTTGACCTTTGTAGTTATATTATTATACCACACCGTTTTTTATCTATGTTTCGCGTCCCCGCGCGCATGTATTTCAAAGACGGAGTTTAAAAAAAGAACATTTTTTTTTGAAAATGCAATACAAATTTAATGCAAACCCGGAAAAACCGGAAAATGTAACTCAGCTGAGTCAGCTCACACACGTGTACATGTAGATGTGTGTGCAAAAAGCTGGGCCGCAAGTCACACAATCATCATTGCCGCCTGTGTTTGGGACACATGCATGGCAGAGTGGACAGGCGCGGCGGAAGCAATTGTTGATTGGTCCGGCCAAGTTTTTTCGTCAGCACAGCACTTGCGCACGTGTGACACAACACAACGTCTCTTTGCTCATCGTAGGTCAACGAAGACCATGTCTTGAAATATGACGCCTGACAAGAGCGCTTCACCACTGTCTTTTTCCCAAATTCCCGCCGAGGAAACGCGAAGGAAGTGGTTGGGTGGACTGGCACTTCTGGCACAGATATTTCGCTGGAAGAAGCAATAGCTGCTAAGCATGCACTGCAGCTAAGCTGACCAGACAGCGAGAAAAATTTGAAAAACTACTTCGTTCAGTAAAAGAATCTGAAGCACTCGACGAAAAACCCTCAAGACTACAAATATACCTAAGGCCACCCCCCCCCCCCCCCCTAAGGCCACGCCATTTTTTTCTATATCACATTGTGTTCATTCCTCCGGGGATAGCATCCGTGACAGCCCATGTCCCTAAGGCCACGCCATTTTTTCTATATCATATTGTGTTCATTCCTCCGGGGATAGCATCCGTGACAGCCCATGTCGAAAGTTGAGATTCAAGTAGTGCCGGAGTACGATTTTTCGTGCCAAAATCAGTAGAGGCGCCAAGGATTTTTATACGTCGTTTTCGAACAGTGAAATGTCGCGGAGTACGGAACTTATGTGTTTGCCGTCATTGCCTAGGTTACAATCGCAAACACGTCACATTCTGGCGCTATGCTTTTTATTTTGAAAATTTGTACCGAAATCAAAACTTCCCGCTGAAAATCGATGTTTCTCGTACCAAATTTGTGCGCGAAAAATCTTTCTGCACCCGATAACTACTGTATCAGCATGTGAAGTGCAGCTAGTTCTGCGGACAACTGTGGCTTCAAGAATAGTCCAATCAGCGTTGAAAATCGGCAAAATTACCATACGAAACATGGTTCGTATGAAAGTCAGTCCACACGGATTCTCCGTGCCGAAAAATCGTATGGAGCACTCCTGGAAACATTCGTACCGCCCATACGGATTTTGGCACAGAAAATCGTATCCCGGAACCTCTCTAATATAATTATTAAAAACAGCGTAGAGCCCAATATACTGCCCTGGGCTGCACCTGCAGAGATTGTGTAGAGAGAAGAAATCTACTAGCCGACTAAGCACTGGAGTGAACGGCCATCGCTAGCTATGAAGAGTGCCAGTAATTCCGGACCTTGTAGAGGAGGCTCACGTGGAACACCCGGCCAACGCCCACGGCTATATCAACTGCGAGAATTCGTGCCGCACTGCTGGCTTGGCCAACGATGCCCACCCAGGCTTTATGAAGTGCCTGTAGTGCGTCTGCCGTACCAAGACCCTTACGAACCCAAACTGGTGGGGAGTGAGGAGCTGCTGGCGTTTGAGAGGGGTCATCATTTTGACGATTGACTATAGTTGCCATGACTTTCCATGACACATTATGCATCAGGGCCTGCTCTAGACATTCAACACAGCCCGGCCAGAGTGTACCTGGCGCATGCAGGCCAGCCGGGTCAAGCCGGGTCAGATCATCCGGCAGAAAAACAACCAAAACGCCTGCTCAAAACGCTGGAAAACAGAAAGGCGAATTTATTATCGTAAATCGGAAATTTTAGAGAACAAGGCGAACTATCAAAGTCCGCATCGCGACCAAATCCACCGCCGCTCGTCTTCCTATCGGAAATGCGTCTTGCACAAAGCGCATGACATGGATAGACTGGCATGGTCGTAGTCCAGCCAGGGTCGACCTTTCTTCCAAGAGTCTTGGAAAGCGTGAGTTCTTTTTCTCTTCGCTGCGGGCTCCATCGTCCAAATCACCAGTCGGCTGAAAACTTGCAACTGTGTCAAAAGCTATAGCCAAAGTTACGCTTTTGACTGCCTGCCCCATCGACTTTGAATGTCCTGACTTCCTGCTCGCCGCTAGCTGGCCAGATCGCGCTCGAACCAGTTGACCCCAGTTCACCTCAGTTCACCCCAGTTGACCCTAGCTGAGTTTCTGTCGCTTGTAGACTGTAGTGTGTAGATCTACGGTTGCGCTAGATTTGCAACAGATCGGGTCCGCGAGTCGCAAAATACCGGTATTTTAGGAATCCATTGTCAGCTTGAGACATTTTTCAGCCGGGTCAGACTGGACCCGGTGTTTTCTGCTCAGCCAGGTCGTGCAGTTCCCCAGCCGGGCGCATGACCCGGCTGACCCGGCCCTCCAGCAGGCCCTGCATCCGTGCTTTTATAAGAACGAAACGGCGTTTATAGTGACTTTTTCCATACAAATCCCTATCTAGTAGGGCGCAGTCACCCAGTTTCGGTGGAAGGGCGCGAGTTTGATTGGGAGTAAAGGAGGAAAGGAGCGTCTCAGCTTCCTCGGACCAAGACCATTCGACTCAGCACCCCGAAGACTACAACTGGTGAAAATTTGATTTTAGGGTATACTTCCCCTTTAACAATGTTGCCAGGGATTCACAGAGCATGTTCAGCACTTGGAAATCACTGAGTTTGTTTTGTGGTCATCTGGTCTGGCTTTCCGTGGGCGAGGATTTGGTGGATTTGGCTATCTAGCACAGGAGCAAGCTTCGTTTTTTGTTTGTGTGTGTGTGTGTGTGCGTGCGTGCATGCATGTGTGTGTGTGCACGCGTGCATGCCTGTGAGTGCATGTGTGTGTGTGTGTGTGTGTGTGTGTGTGCATATGTGTGTGTGTGTGTGTGTGCATATGCGTGTGTCTGTTTGTGTTTTTTTCTGGTGGCAGTGAGAGATGCGACGTGGTTCGGGCGAAGGTCAGGCTAACGCCGATGCCAACGCGAAAGGGCTGATGATGATGATGATGATGATGATGATGTGAATGATGTGAAAGATTAAGATGATATCTACCACGGTGTCACCTAAACATGTCTCCACAGCCTCCTGCCCACACCATTCACGTTCACACACCTTGCTCATAACACCCTGCCCACACCAGACATATCCATTTACATTGCGCTATTATCACACTGCTAGCTCTACAGCCTCCTGCCTACAACATCCACACGCATTGTTCACCACCTCCTGCCCACACCAGCCACACACTTCGCGCTCACACTGCACTGCTAGCCCCTGCCTTCAACAACCACACACTCTGCACACAGCCCTTTGCCTAAAACATCACCGCTACTGCGCTAGCCCCCACAGTCTCACACAGCTTTTTATACCACCCTCTCCTGGCATATATACCGGCATGGTCGGCACCCGATCTTCATGTTGCCTGATGATTGCGTAAGCATGAAACTTAAAGTAGCAGCAAACAAGCCTTGATTGTCCTTGTTGTTCTGTTGTGATGATATCTAGTAGATATTGCAACATACTCTGCAGGTTGTATCTGCTGCTCGCTATGCTTAGTGTCCCGTCTGCTTACCTCAACCAACCAACAGTAACCATGGTCACTGTATAGTGATGGGTGATAGCAACAGAACCGTAGAATACAACCCTATCTCACATGCCTAGACTACATTTGTTAGAAGGCGTTTCTTCGTTTTCTTCATATTCTTTTCTCCTTTTCGTTCACTCTTCCCTTCTCTGATCTTATAGCGCTGGTAATACATATATATAATCAACCTTTGATCAAGAGATTATTCAAACCAATCTGCAACCTCAAAGTCTGCTGAGAGTGATATCATGCCAGTGTGACGGAATATAGGTATCACCATGCAACAGGGATTTGTTGAATTATATTTGCCGCTAAAATCACAGTCCAGCCTCAACAAGCAGCCAAATATGGTGTCCAAGTGACGACATGAGAACAGGTGTCTACTTAAAAACTACGGTGTCACCTGAAATGTCTCCACAGCCTCCTGCCCACACATACACCCTGCCCACACCAGCCATGTCATGCATGTACTCTGTGCTAACACCACACTGCTAGCTCTGTCATTACCTCTACAGCCTCCAGCCTACAACGTCCACACACCTTGCGTACAACCTCCTGCCCACACCAGCCACATATTCTGCGCTGATGTTGCACTGCTAACCCTGCCATTGCCTCTACAGCTCCCCTGCCTTCAACAACCACACACTCTGCACACACACACAGTCTCCTGCCTAGAATACTGACACCGCTAGCCCTGAAACCTATGCACCGCATTCACAAACAGCTTTTCACACACCCATACAAAGCCCGCCCTCTCCTGGCACATAGAGCAGCGAGCGGCATCACCAGTACTGTCCTGAGGTTGCCTGATTATGGAAAAAGCATGAAACTCTAAGGAAGCATGTCGGAGAAAACCAGAAAAGCTGGGCGGGGCCATCTCTCCCATTTCGCTCAAATTTTGCAAGTAGGTTTCCTTTGGGGTCTACAACAACCATGCGAAAGGGCTTGTGGCATAACTTACGGACACCTTGGAACTGGGGACCACCTCGAAATGGGCCCAAAATACGACTGAATTTTGGATCCAAAAACGAGCGCTGGTACAGCGTACACTAGCTAAGAACAAACCATCCCCATGCCAACATTACCTCACCTGAGTAGTCTTCACATCACCATGCCAACATTACCTCACCTGAGTAGTCTTCACATCACCATGCCAACATTACCTCACCTGAGTAGTCTTCACATCACCATGCCAACATTACCTCACCTGAGTAGTCTTCACATCACCATGCCAACATTACCTCACCTGAGTAGTCTTCACATCACCATGCCAACATTACCTCACCTGAGTAGTCTTCACATCACCACCACATAGAGCCATGGCTACATCGAGGAAAGCAATGGCCATCATCTCCAAATATCACTCAATTGCATCGCTAAAATAGCCAAATTTAAAGGGCCTTAGCGTGAACCATTTACGGCGTCTATTTCCCTGAACCATGCACTGCATGATAGTGGCCATGTCTCCACCCAGGCCATGTCTCCTCCCAGGCCATGTCTCCACTCAGACCATGTCTCCACCCAGGCCATGTCTCCACCCAGGCCATGTACATGTCTCGTAAAAAGGGTCCCACGCTTTCTGGAAATAAACAAATTTCAATATTTTCACTTCACCACATTGCAGCATTTCCAATTTCCTACCCGACGACAGCAAGCGCCTCCTCAAGCGCCAAAACAAGGCGCCGCTCCAGACGCCACCACGCCAAACACTGCAGCGTGGTCACCTCTACCGAGTCTGACAAGAAATATGAACTGACAACCCTTGTCACTCGGAACAACAAGCACTTCAACGCAACCCCTGCATTGGACTTGGAGGCCATCCATGATGATTCTTGGCAGTTGGTGGCTCAAGAGCCTCACCGCAAGAAGCGAGTAGTTGTCTTTATTGGCAATCTTAGTTCCCAGTGCAATGACCAACGGCTAAGCGAGTTCATCACAACACGCTCCATCGCAGTACACCAGACAGTTGCAGTTCATGATTGCAGTGTCCGTGAAAACAAGAAGGGAATGATGACAGGAGGAGTAACTGTTGATGCCGATGCCCTCCCCACAGTCACCTCTGTAAACTTTTGGCCTAGACCACTGTATGCGAGGGAGTGGACATTCCATGAAAAACGTCATGGGCCAGTGCCAGGAAAGGGAAATGGACAGTCTGTGCTGTCGAAGAAGTCAGGCAAGGAGTCAGCCACTCACAGCTCTGACCTGACACCATTGCCTCCCGACCGCAAGCGGCGGCATGGGGATTCACCTGACTCCGGCAGCCCACTGCTCAAGAAACTGGACGAAGACCACCAGCAGCAAGAGTCTGCCGAGCAACAACAACTGAATGCAGACAACCAGCAATCATGAAGCTCCTCCTGACCAATGCAGGCGGGCTGCTGTCCAAATTCGGAGAGTTTCAGCACACCCTGTTGCTCTCCGGTGCGGATGTTGCCATAGTGACTGAGACGAAACTAACAGTGGATAAATGCTCTCACAGTGCATCTATGATCCCGGGATACTGTGGCCCGATTCGCCGAGACCGAACAGAACACGGAGGTGGCATTGGAGTCTGGATCAAAGCCGGCATCGCGTACCAGCATCTGGATCATTACCAGTCTGCTGAATTCGAAACAGCCTGGCTCACAGTTGGCCAGTGCAACAGCAAAACTGTCATAGGTGCAGTCTATCGCCCTGGTTCCTGCGCTGACAATGATCTGGCTCTACTCGAGCACTTAGACCAAAACATAGATACCATGCGGCAGCATGGTAAGCACATGATTCTGGCTGGAGATTTTAATGTTCACAGCACGTCCTGGCTTGGCAGCTCTCGAACAACAATCGCAGGGGAGTTCTTGGAAGAAATCAGCGCAACACACTGTATTGTCCAGCACGTGACCCAGCCAACCCGTGGGCCAAACACATTGGATCTCGTTTTGTCCGACTTTCCTGGCACTGTCCACACAGCAGTATCATCTCCCATTGGGCGCTCTGACCACTGTGTAGTATTGTCTAACTTTCAGGAAATCACTCCTGTACTGGAGCGGCCAACAAGCAGGAAAGTATGGCGTTATGGCCAAGCAGACTGGGGCAGACTGAGGGCACATTTCCGCAGCTTTGACTGGGCTGCTGTCGTCTGCGATGTCCCCGAACTTGCATGTGAACAACTCACAGCTGTAATTCTGGATGGAATGGACACGTTTATACCATCTAAGACCCTGACAGTACGGACAACAGACCCTTGTTGGTGGACACCTGAGTGCAGCACTGTAGTTCAAGCAAAGACTCGTGCATGGAAACGGTGGCGTCAGCACCCCGATGATGGAGATTTGCGAGCTTCATTCATCGACCTAGTGGCCCGAACAGCTGCTATTCTGCTGCGCGCCCAATCATCACATGATGCTCGTGTCAAAGCTAAGCTCAGCTCAGGCTCACTTAACGACAAGCAATGGTGGTCCAACATGAAGAGAGCTGCTGGGATGGAACGTGCCTCTGAGATACCTCTGCTGAAGGACACCGACGGCACAGAGTATCCAACTCGCCAAGCCAAGGCCAATTGCCTCGCCAGGTACTACTCCCAGAAGTGTAGCCTTGCAGATGATGACATCTCTCCAGACGATCTGCCAGAAATGCAGCATTTGGACCGCCATGGTCTTGACCGCATCCATTTCCGGCTTGCTGATGTACGCCGCCGTCTAGCCAAGCTGAATACATCGAAGGCAACAGGACCTGACAATATTCCAGCAAGAGTCCTAGCTCAGTGCTCCAGTGAGCTTGCAGAACCAGTCACCAAACTGTTCTCACTCTGCTTTCGCCACGGTGTTCAACCTACCAAATGGAAGCTGGCCCATGTGGTTCCAGTCTTCAAGAAGAGCCCCCGCTCGGATCCCAAGAATTACCGGCCAGTCTCACTACTATCCATCCTGTCAAAAGTAATGGAGAGCATAGTAAACAAGCAGCTCGTGAATTATCTGGAGCGTTTCAATATTCTGCCCGACAGTCAATATGGCTTTCGGCAAGGAAGAGGCACGTGCGACATCCTCACTGCTTTGCACACTGAGTGGGTCAAGACTGTCAGCGATGGAGGGTACGCTAACATGGTGGCGGTGGACATAGCAGGAGCATTTGATCGGGTATCACACTCTGGACTGATTTTCAAAGCCAAGAACGTTGGCATTGGTGGCTGCCTGCTGCACTGGCTGCAGGATTACCTCCTGAACCGCAAACTATCAGTCCTGGTCCACGGCGACTCATCCTCTCCGGCGCCCATAACAGCAGGTGTGCCCCAAGGCAGTATCCTTGGCCCGACACTTTTCCTCTTGTATGTGTCTGACCTGGATCAGTGCCTGTCTCCCGAGACGCGACTAAGTTCCTTTGCAGACGACACAACACTCTACAGCCTCATCCGCACGCAGGACAATATGCATGACATGACTGCCGCCTTGCAATCCAGCCTCAAGCGTCTTGAAGAGTGGGGAGAATGCTGGCGCATCAGATTCGAGCCCTCTAAATCGCAACAGCTGCTGATGACTACGAAAGCCACACACCCTGCTGTCCCTGACATCAAGTTTGGAGGTATCGCGGTTCCGGAAGCCAACACCATCAAGCTTCTTGGAGTGACATTTGACGCCAAGCTGTCATTCCGGGATCACTTGCACTCAATTGCAACACGTGGCTGCCAGAGACTGGGTGTTCTCCGTCGGGCTTGCGGGGTGTGAGATTACCATGGCCGGCTTTGTGCGTACAAGGGATTTGTGCGACCCATCCTCGAGTATGCTCCCCTTGTGTGGATGGGAGCTGCATCCAGCCACCTCGCCCGACTCGACCGTGTACAGAAACGTGCAATGGCCATTATTGGCCCTGGTGCCCTTCTCCAAAGCCTGTGCCACCGCCGGATTGTATCT